ATTTGGTTCAAAAGAAAGAAATGGTGCCGAGTCCATTAAAATGGCTGAAAAAGCCACTAGGGGGTCATTCTGAGCTTCCAATTGGTTATTTATGTCATATATGCCTACTCAAACATGTAATTTTTAAATAACAATCATAAACTAATTTTTTTTTAGAATGGTGAAAATTGGTAAATATTTACCAGTTTCAAAGTAATATTCATCAGAGTATCTCAAAATATCACACACAACAATTTTTTCACACCCATCACAGACTTAAACATCAACACAGATACATGTATACTACACATTGAACAAATCCAAAACTGACAAAGTATCACTACATTATGAAAACAAGATGTAATTTTTACAGTTCATAAATCCTATGGAAAATCCTGTACATATTTTATAAAAAGTGTTTTATAAGTATTTTTTGTATTTATATATGTAAAAGTATGAGATTTGTTTTTATTAGCTTATCATGAACTATTTACAAAGCAACAAATAAACATAAGTGTGTTCTTTGGCTGAGAGAGAAAATGCAGCAACAGATGTACATGAGCTTAAGACTTAAGAATTCAACAAAAAATCATAACATCTATTACTTGTTTTGGCCTAATCACATGGCTTAATGTAACATAAAGCAATATCATTCCAACAGTAGAAAACTTTCATGTTAATAAATGAATGTTCTAGTGTATATATATGTTAATAAATGAATGTTCTACTGTATACATTGAACTAGATCAACTGTATCCATTAATCATTTCATTCACATTTCAATATTTATTAATAGTAAATATATCAGTTATCAACCCTAATTCCTGAAAAAAATAAACATATCTGGTGTACCATAAAAGTATGTTGTTTAACCCATAAATACTAAATATTACTACACACTGTAGAATTTTATGACTTAGTACAATGCGGAAAAATCACAATTACTTTTACTTAAATGTATATATTTCTTTTTATTTGTAAAAAGAAAAAAAAATTGTAGCTTGTTACTTTTTGACTAAAAATCTTCAAACTTCAGTAAATTAAATCATTGTGCTAAACTGAAACAAATTAATTACTCATGGTTTAGATATATGAATTATAGCATACATGAAACACTGAATTATTAGTGGTATGCTAGTATTTAAGTGGAAAGCACAAAAGCTTTAATGTTTCTTTATTGGAATTTCAAGGTAAATAATGAAAACAGTGTGAACCTGTAGAATTGTAGTTTAAAGTAAGTATTTTGAATCAGCTTGTGTTGTTTCCACTGTACATTTTTGAATCTCAATAAAAACTTAAATCAGTGAAGTATGAAATTTTATTTTTTTAAAACTGTTTATCTGATTATTATAACATATCATAAACCATGATGGTGGTTCACAATAAGAATCTCAAGGAATTGTACAAAACTCAAATAGAACATTTGGGCAAAAAGTACCTTCGACAGTAAGAATTCAGTTCAAACAACACTTTAAAACGTTTAGCATTGACAGCTAAGGCTGTATACATATAAAAATGAACACAAAAACATGTTAGACTTACGAGGAAAAGAAAATTCATTCAAAATGGTCCATTTGTAATTCTTCTTATCATTATTATCATAACGGCTTGGTATATTGCATCCAAAACTTTTGTAGAATACTGAATAAGATATTGCATAGGTCGTAGGGGTATTGAAAAGTCTATTTGTTTCTTCTATATTTTACATAAGCTAAAAAACATCATAATTCTAGTGTAAATGATGTTATAATTACCCCTTGAAGTTAGCTTTCTTAGAAACATCTTGTGTTCCTTTACAAAGCTTAAGTACAGGGTGAAACAGGAATTACCAGCCAATAATAGATGGACATTAGATGACTAACATGTAAATTCTCAATGCTTTGTACACTACACAATCAATGTCTTTAGGGAGTCAATCCCTAAATTATGTATGAAGTGAAAACTGTACCAGCTAGCTACTAGCTATGTCTATTATCATTACAATGTACAAAGTTAGCTACCATATCAAGTAATCCTTTGCTCATAACTGATCATAAAAAAGCCAGCAAAAAAAAAAGATAAATAAAAAATTTTGAATTTAAAAACTTGTAAATAAGGATCATAAAAAAAGTAAGGAAACAAGGCTGGAGATACAAATCACTATTTTGTCTTCACCAAATGTAATTCTAGGTAACAGCATGAAAACAAAATAGGGGTTTGTAATTTGAGTAAATAATGTCTACTGTATTTCCAGTCTTGTTTACTTAATTTTATTACAATCCCTATTTGCAAGTTTTTAAATTCCCAATTTTTTATTTATCTTATTACTGATTGTATTTTAGCACATAATTTTGGCTTCTTGGAATGCATAATATTCATTTTTCTAGTTGAAAATTCTGCAAGGTATTATTGTGTAAAAAATATGAAAACTCAAGTTGTCTTGGTAAACTTTCTACAGTTAAGAAAGCACTTTTTTAAAGAAACATAACTAGCTTTCTGTCCAATGAAGTGCCAAGCAGCTAACCCTTGTACAATAAGTATTATGTATTACCATTAGAAGGAGGAACTACTCTTTTCAAAGTTTTTATGTCAACCAGAATTCAAATGTAACTAAAGAAATTACAAGTATATGGTAATCCTAATTCAATAACCAGTGTTAGAGGTTAAAGTTTACACTTCCTAAACTGCTTATAAAGACATGATATGACCTAGACTTACGTCCTAGTTTAGTATGAGTTTTAATGATGAAAACATTTATTATTATATACTTGCTTCAAGTCATTGACAACTAATCAAGAACAAGTCTATGCAGCAATGCCTCAATATATTGTAGCACATGTACTTAGTGTAAAAATATTTTGGCTTTTATCACCAATAAATAACTCTTGACCTAAAAAAATAAGGTTAATCAAATCTAGTTGAATGTAGGTTTGTAAAACCTGTAGATTGTTTCTTGATTAAATTATCTAAAACCTATGAAACAGTAACAAAAAATTACTTAATGTATAAATGCTAAACAGTTATCATAATTATATAACTCTTGATAATTTATAATTTTATACTTACAGACTCATTAGTCTCATATTCTTTAAGGGAATTCATGAATTCAAGATGTTTTTTCTCTTCATCCATTTGAGCAACCAATTGCTCTGATGCCTGAAGTTTCTGCTGAGTACTTGCTAATTCATCACGTAGCCATGCATTTTCTTGGCAAAGTCTTCTTACTTGAGCTCGGAGCTTTTGTTTTTCTGCTTCAACCATCTGCAAGTGGCTGGCCAAGGCCATCATAACCTGTGAAACAATAAGTCCGAGTAGTATGCACGCTGCTTTTAGCACCTTTTTTTTGACCATGTAACTAAAAACATTAATATGAATAAAGTTCAAAGATTTAAATATAACACTTCCCTGGCATGTAAATGGTATAATATTTCCTAATATGTTTTGAAATTGAAATTCTAAATATAAACATTATTGTGGGATAATGCATTCACACAGTTATGCAGCATAGCAAAGTTTTTTTTAGAAAAATACTTGTCACAGTAAATAACTGAATGGAAAAAAAAAAGTTCCAGAACTGATAGATAAGGTGTTCTAATAACTAACTCTTATCCATCTAACACAGTTTCATGCCACTTTGAATTTGTTAGACATCAAAACAACAAAATAGTTGCAAATTATTGACAAAAAAGAACCTTTTGTCATCCTTATGATATGTTAACAGTTTCTGGCAGTCATAAAAGCCTTATACAGTGATAAAGCTTAAACCAACCCAGATACCTAAAATATTTAAGAGACATCATACAGATGTTCTTAGAGTTTTTGAGCCAATGTTCAAAATATACTACATTTAGATCATCTGCATTTCAGTCACCATATTAATTAACTATTACATCCCACAAAATGAAAACAAATGTTTCTTAAAGCATGTCTCATAAAAATTATATTACAATTTTAAACAGTGCTCTACTCCAGACTGTTGCTTTCTAACAGCATTTCAACCTCACTAAACATTGGTTAGGTAGTGTAATACAAAATTTGCTATTTTTGTCAAACAGATAAAGATTTTGATATGAGTGGACAACTAAGAGTATACTGCACAGAGCTGTAGGCAATTGTAGGCAATTTTTAACAAAATTTTTTGAATGTCCATTTTTGTTGTTATGGGTGGTCAACTGAGAGTATACTGCACAGAGCTGTAGGCAATCTTTAACAACATTTTTTTAATGTCCATTTTTTGTTGTTGTCATGGATGGTTTTAATCTCTTGACAAATAAAGATTGGTCAAGCAACAAACTGAGAATATAGTTTTCATAGTTCATGAAAATCCTAAGTTCAAGTAACACACACACAAACTAGTAGTTAAGACTTTTCTATCACCAATACCAGCTGATAAATACGTCCTCTAAAAATTTTGCAAAATTACTGTACCTACTCTGTCCTGAACATACCACTAAACACTTTATGAATACTGATAAAGTATTGTACAACAGTGCACATAAAGCAATTGACAGCAGAGTGTATTCCCTTGCCTAAAATACTTAAAGCATTATACAAATGTATATAAACAAAACCCATTTTTACCTGAGCTTCCCCTAAGCCAAGATCTATAGACTCCAAGTGTTTCTTTATTATACTAGCCTTCTCTTCCATGAGGTTGCTATCACCTTTCTCTTGCTGAACAGCCTTGAGTGAAGACATGAGCCCATTATAGATAGAGTTGTGCTCATTTTTTAGAGCTTCCAATCCTTGAAGAACAGTTTTTGTATTTGTTATAATTTCTTCTTGAGTCATTGCTGTCATCTTGCCAATAGATTCTATCTTTCTCCTAGATATAAAATAAATAAGGTACGATATTTTATCTAAACCTCTAATTCAGCTTACTCTGATGGTACAACAGATGGTAACAGCAGAGACTTAAGCTTAATGTGTGATAGTTGTAGTAAACATACTTAGGCATGCAATTACACTGACATAATTATGATCCTAATCAGTTTAGCTTTATCTAATTTTCACAGATACTGTAATTTGATTTCATTAAGTCCTAATTTAAAAAACTTCCTTAATATATATTTAAGTTGTTATAAAAGCAAAGCTTTTGCACTGATTTATTGCTTTTTTAATGTCTACTCAGAAAAACATTACACTAATGACAATGAGGGTATTTTACAATTTAATAATTGCTGCTCAAATAATGTTATCAATGTGCAGCTTATAAAAATTTTTCAAATAATTATCTCTATAATACAGTCCCAATAATATACTGAAATATATACAAACTTAACAAATTCTTATGGAGTTACAAATATTATCAAATGTTTTGCATATGATAGAATAAACCTAACTTTTCTGGACATAATTTGAAGAAATATTCATGATAATGTTACACTATTACACAAAACAAAACTATATGCATTTTTGTTTAAAAAGCTGTTTTCATTCCTGTATATGTTAAATAAAAAAGCTACATTCAAGAGCTTTTCCAACCTTTATCCTTTAACAGTCCCCCCTTAGATATCATTTCTAATAACTAATTATTGAGATTGAGAATGTTTACTTTATATAATGTGATTTGGTACAAAGAAAATTTGTCAATTAGGTATAATAATTTATAACAATATTCTTCCAAAAGAAGATTGAATTACAAATACAAGTTATACCATTAAGGTAAAAGATGAAGCTTTAAACTGTAAAATTCCTTGTGTTGGAAGTAAAATACATTGTTGTTTTCACTATAATACAATAAAATCACAATTATAACAGATCCATAACTTATCTCACAGAAGCCATATCTATCACCCATGTTAGTACTCTTGATTATTAGAAATACAGTTTTTGAATAAACTCCATGGATGAAATTTAAGCCTAATAATAAGAAGATTAACGTGATGACTTCACAATAATTTCTTACATGTATTTTAGTAAAAAATAAATAATCAAAGCATAAATTTGACAATTCAAATGACTGGAAATACCAGTATAACACCATTTACAACACAAAATAGTTATATGTACTTAAAAAGGATATATGTTTTTAAAAGTATTTTCAACTTCTACATTTCAATTCTATAACATACTCTTTCTGGAAAATGAGTCATCTACATTTTTCTACTTTAATGCTAAATTTCTATAACATGTTTTGATACTAAGATGCATAATTTGTTGTATATAATTAGAAATTGTAATATCTGTTTTTCAGCAAAAACAAAAATACTGATCAGTTTTTATACCCATTTGCATAACATTTTGATATTAAAAAAAATATTAGACCCCATAAAAAAGATAATCACACATTAGGTTATTAAAATAAAACTTTTATAATATGGTCTACAATTTGTTACCCATTAATTATTTTCATGGTTTATCATTCTAAAATGGCTTTCAACTGCCCTATATAATTGAAACAAGGCAGCGATGCAATAACTTGACAATCTTTCTTTTTGGAAAACTCTCCTTTTCTTACTCTTTCTAATCAATATAACAAATGTATAAACCTTAAAAGTTCAGAGTAATTTGAATCATTCATAAAACCTTGGCATCCCAGTACTTACAGACGATAAGCTTTGATGGTTTCTGACATGATATAAGGGAAAACGAACTTTGCAAAACCTATTATTAAAGTTAAACGATAGGCTTAGACGCAACAAAGTCTAGTCGTTGTGCAAGCATAAAAATCTTTAAAGGGAATGGCTGTAACTTTCCTTATAAAACGTTCATACGCAAAAGTAACAAGTTATTCTGAGATGAGACGATCTAGTTGTTTCTCCCTCAGTCACCAGTGCTCCGCAGGTAAGTTGATCTAAAACTTGTGAGTAAACTGGGAAAACCAGACACATAAGTGATGGAAGGTTTTACAAACCACCAAGAGCGCTCTTTCGACAGCTTAGTCTGGTCGCATTGCAGGAGGTTGTCTGACGCCGGAACGTCTACCGACCCACCGTCAGAGCGCCAGTCTTGTTGCTAGGGTCCACTCCCTTAGCAACCAACGTCAATTTTTACTTTTACTTGTTTTCTTCTTAAAGTTCGAAATTGTTCAATTATGCCAAAACGAAACAATACCGTTTGTATACAGTTATTGAAAAATTCAAGAAGCTTAATGAAGTATTTATGTTTCGACAAACAATTCTCTCGGTCTCTCGGACCGGATGACAAAATTGTTTCTCAGCAAATCACCTGATAGTGGTTATACTGCGCATGCGGTAAGTAGGTAAAATCACTGGACATGCCTATCTCTGAACAGTACACGGCAGAGGTACGTGCAAATATTGATTTCCAAACAAAATCCATGAGCACCAACAACACTTGCTGTAACTTTGCAGTTAGAAGGGCCACTGAAATAATATTCTCGTTGTTTTCAAATTTTCATTTATATAATATACGTACCTTTAAAATATGCATATAATTTAAACAGTTTATTTCCGTTCTACTCAAGAAGAATCAGAGTTTAGCCTTAAAAACTGTGTAACAGCTGTTGTATAAGTGGGCAAACTATGACCAGGAACCTTGAACATATTCAGCTAGAAACCAGACTGGTAACATTCAAATCTGTGTAAAAGGGGCGAGTTTCGCCTACACCTTCGCTGCAAGGTACCAGAAGCCATATTTTCAATTTATGTAAAAATGTATTCAAACCTTTACAGAAAATCAACACCTTACTGCCTAACCCGAATAAATCACAACTGAAGGAACAAAAACAAGACATATATAATATCCCATGTGAATATGGAAAGAAATACATAAGACAAACGTCACGTCCTTTAGAAATAAAACGCAAAGAACACCGAGGTCACATGCGCAGAGGTGATTTCCAATTATCCGCCTTAACATATCGTCAATATGAAACACGTCACAAAATACTTTGGGATGAAATTATTCTCCTACACCAACCCAAAACTAAAATAAAGAGACTGTTTAGAAACTATAAAAATCATCAAAGCAAACGTGATAATGGCCCTAGTAACATCAGCCGTATTTGGCAAGGTCTATTCATCGTTCATACACTTGACCTACCTATATCCTGTCACCTACTGACACAATTTCCGTCACATTTAATCCTTGTGTCTTTTGTTATTATAACGATATACAAGCCGTGTATTGATTAGTACTGATCATACCCGAATAAGACAGATCAATGTTCTGTCGAAATGTAGTATGTTCCATCATCAATAAAATTTTTCCTTATGCTTATAAATCGCTGTTTGCCAATTTGTTAAGATAACAGTCTTGCTATAAACACAGTACGAGCCCATTGACTGTGCATAAAGAAATACCTTGCAGAAAATATATATATCAGTTTTCGTACATCAATATACATGTAGAAGAGGCTGTTTGCATTCGATCACCTCGTCGTAAGATATGCAGGCTTATCTCCTAGCGAATGATAAGCAAATGGTAAACTTAATATACACATTAAATACTATTTCAATAAGTAACCGCCGATGTCATATGGTCTGGGTATAGGAACAGGTGATGGTTTTTTATTTATCAAACAAGTCTTGAAAGATCAACTTGGAAAATAGTTTATGATAAATATTTATGTCAAGCACTTGTGTAATTTTTTCTTTGATTTTTTCATTTGAACAAGCAACCGGAAATGTTGTGTGTGTTTGAAACTGCTTGAGATTAGTACACAGCTGAGATTTGAGAAATTAAAAAATTGCAACGAACTACAACTAGATTAATATCTATCAACTCAGGATAACATATACAACTTGTACAAAACTGTAAGACTTATCAAGAACTTTATGTTGCTTGGGTCTAACTAAGACTTACTAGTAAGGAATTACTTGTATATATTTTGTAGTGTACTATAACATTTGAACAATTTCCAGAATTTCATGTACACCCTGTGCAATACGAATGGTTGCCAGTGTCGAATTTGCATATTCTGCAGTTGGTGCTGAATTAAGAAAGTGAAGTAAATATGCTTACAGAAAAAAAAAAAACAGTAATAGGATGGATTTCTGGCTATCTTAGAAACGTAGAAAAGACAGGACGATAATCTGAAACCAAAATACTTTTAATTTGGGAGCAGAATTAATAAATTCAAAACTGCGTATTTTCTAACACAATGAAAATAAAATCTACCAGTTATGGAAGGTTTTTCGCAAATAACATTAAAATACTGACAGCAATTTAATGGACCTAACTCACAGATATACAGTAACCATCTAAAAATAATTATTGAGAAACCTTATGACTGGAGATAGTGCTGTTAATTTAGAGAGGAGATACTGCTGCAAATAAGAAACATAATAGCTTATCTACAGACCACGTACTTTAAAAAAAAATAATTTAGACGTTGTTATGTGGTATTAAAACAGAAATTACTGCTTTTCTGCTATCAGATTATGTATGATAATATAATGGATGTTATGTTTAACATGTAAGCCCTATCGTTATGTTGCTCCTGCAGCAGGAAGTCAGTATAAAAAGGAAGTAATAAGTAATACTATAAATAAAAATGTTAGCACTGATTACCAAGTTGGTACATTACCAGTTACAAGACGTACTTAATACTGTACATGAGCCTCAATACTTTTTCTCTCTCTAATATCCATTCATATTGAAAACACATCCACGATCAGTGGCGTATTAGGAGGGAGATGCCATTTTTTGCCAAATTTTTGTATTTTTTACTTGATAAACTGAATTACCGGTGATTGTATTTAATTGGCATTATATAACTTACTTCAGTAGGAGATAAAATGCATCCAGATACATAAAGTAGTGTTTTTTCTTATAGTTAATAGGTCAGGAAGTCATCCTGCCCTCTTCCCTCCCGTGTGAAGAAGTCTGCGTACGCTACTGTGTGAAAAAAAAATGTATATATAGATGCACAAACACATTCCATACATATGAGAATGAAAAACAACATAAATTAATGGCATCTGTATATAGGGTTTATGACAATAAAGTAAATAGCCTGCCAATCTTCGACTACGTATAGATACATAAATAGTTTTCTAAACATTCTACATCCGGATTATCAGAGGTGTGGTAACACATATTAAAGTCGTTCTAAAATGTTCCTGCCCCCCGGTTTTAGTATTCTTTTCGCTAACGAATGCCTAATCGTACGATTTTTACAACGAAGAATTAACATTTTGGTTATGACGTTTTAAATATGCTAGAGAACTCTCCCAGTGCGCATAGTGCATGCGCAATCGAGCAACTACAGATGTCGAGAAACAATTCTCAATACAGTTACATTTTTCTTTCTGTGTGGATCCAAGCAGCTTGGTCATACGTTTCTCTGCTGTGACTCACAGTCATTACTTCGTGTCATGACGTCAGTGGCATTAACCAAACCGACTGCATGCTTCCAGGGGGGGGGGGGTACTTTTGCTTCTGCGTCAAGCAATAAACAGTTTACGAAACCTCCCTTCTGCATCAAGAGTTGTTAATTCATCAATACCTAATTTTTATTATCTATTGTGATAAAATTCCAGACTAAGAAGAGGATTATTGTATAACTATATAAGCTGTGGTTCAACAATCTTGTACAGTTTGTGTACCAAAAATATATGTCCTTCTAAAGTCCAATTTATTGAGAAGTCAATATTTAATTAACTGTTCCCAACACAGACTTTTATTTCTTGTGAAAGTAACGAAGTGGAGAGAAACTGTCGACTTTTCTCCTTCAGATCACGTGGAGTTTAAGTAGCTTTCGTTGTAACCACTTTTTGTTTTCATAATGTTTATAAACTACCCTTGATAGCGAGCTAATAAAACTATTATCTTTCTGTTTCTGATAAATTTCAAACAGAGCATTAAACATTAAATTGCTAATGTTTCAAATTGAAAGCTAATTCAAATCACATGGGAAAATATAGATACTTATTTTGTACAAGAAAAAACTCACTAAAATTATGGAAGTAAGCCATTAAAATAATAAACCAAAAAACAATTAAATTAGTTATTTGTTGCGTCTACCGGACATTCCCGTGACTTGAAGTAGTTTATAAGTGTTCCATTGTTTTGTTTTCACCTTTATATGTTATAAATTATACCACAGAGAAGCAAAATTTTTCAAAGAAATAACTCAAACTTAACTTACGTGTTACGTCCAAATAACAAACTAACGTATCAGAAGATCTGCAGCAACAAATTACAAAATCAAGCTTTTAAGATTATAAAACTATCACTTTCTAAATGAAAGAGACAAGGAAGGTGCACATGTATATTCAACTATGGAAAGTAACGTCTAGAAGCACCCGGGGTAACCTTCGTCTTCAACCAACCTTTTATCTGCAAAGTAAGCCGTACCGTTTAATGATCGATAGAAAACAGCTGTGATCAGAAACTAAAACCAGATTGTTGTAGAATAAGTTAACCTTACACATAGTTAGATAACTGCTTTGTAGCAATTACGTACTGCAGCTATTGTTCAACTTCTATAATAATAATAAACACGTAACGTATATTATTTCTACTCAATCCAAACGTGTAACAAACACGTGAGCTCAATAAAATGAGTCAGGTTTTAGTTCAATGAGGTATATACGAAAATACAAAAACAAACCAGTTAACTGGTAGACATTACACGTATAATGATGGCTAAGAAGACATACACATGTACATAAGTAACCACACAAACTGATAAACGGAAATTGTAATGATAAACACAAACTCAATACATGCGCGAAAAGTTTCGGACTGACAAATGCAAGCGTATTATTTATACAGTTGCTTCCTATTGAAGAAACATCATATCGTTATAGTTTGTAATCTCTTTGAGTTACAACATTCTAGTTCTTAATTCCACTGTAATTTTATTAACTAAACATTACAAGGTTATGGTAACCTAATACTTTTGAATAACCGTACAACAGAGCCTAACTGTTTACAATTTTTACAGCTAGGTAGGTATGACTTTGTACATTTATAACAATTTTACTCTTTGTTTGTACACATTGATGTTTAATATATACAAAAATGAGTATTTAATTAATTTAGCATGATTTAATTTCTCAATCAAACACTACAAATCTCACATCGTGAAAAAGACCTTTGTCCGACGACACCGGATTGCATATTGGTTTTCCATTCAGAATCACCTTATCTGTCTTTTGTTTTGTCAAACGTTTTAATGCAACGAGTATACTACACAACGTCATTGTCATCACGTGACGACTGGCTTCGATTTCAACTTTAGTTTTTATTTTATTGTCCAAAGTATTTCACACAAACAACACTTATTCAGTGTGTAATTTCCTAAAAAAACTTAACATTACACTAAATACAATTTTTATAGGCTTTCTCGACTTATTTAGGTCTAAAATACGCATTCACAGTTCGTTCAAAACCATATGCTCATCGCTTTGTGAACATGCATTCAGACGTTTCTGTATAATCAGCTAAGTTTGCCTTCATTACAACTTTACATTTACTTTAATTTGCAATGATTTAGCTTTGGTTCGTTTCACAGACTGCTGTAAACACCTTTTAGCTACTTTTTTTCTTTACTATGAATTTTATTCTTCGTTTTTATTAGTTTCTTTGCTTTAACTCCTAAAACAGTGTCATACACTGAACGCTCATAACTGTTTCGCACTCTGTACACAATTATAAATATTACTTTATTGTTTACTTCATTAAATAAAGTTACGTACGTGGAGTTTTATTAAATAAAGTTACGTCTATGTGAGTTTGTTTGTGTAACCGCAAAAAGTTTTTGAAATAGACCAGGATTTATCGATCTAACATAAGGCTTGCAAGGAAGCCTAGCTTAAATGGCATGCGTGAAAATGATAGAATAAGGAAAGTTCAAGCAAAGGGCATGAAAACTACCGGAAATATTTTGCGGTCACGGCTAATATTAATTAATACAGCAGTGGTGACTAAGTCTGTACTCTAAACATGCAAGTAACCCTGAATGATGTACTGATTTAAAAGATGTTTAGTTCTGGATATCCGATTGCTTTAGACCAAAATTAAAGTGTAGGATATTCTACTTTTTTATACCAGAGTTAGCTGACCAAATATAGCTAATTCATAGTTTTTGATCAGAATTAGATTATTTGTCTATCTGTCATGGGTTCCAACTTAAATATGCACTGTGTTAGTACTTGTAGTTATGATATACTACTTGACATGAGTATTATATGTATACAAGATTAATTCTAATCTCAGTAGTATTTATGGTATACAACTCGACATAAACATACCTAACCATGTAAATCAGTAGTATTACCACTTTGTTATTATTTTTAATTTTTGAAGAATAATTAGATACAAACCATGCAACAGATGCAACTGTTTAAAACACCCACCATTGACAAATGTATTTTGTGCATACTGTTACTGTCTTGTAAAAAAATACTTGAACTACTTTGGTAAATAACTAGATGACATCAGTATTATGTAATCAACAGTGAACAGTTGAGAGAAAATGAATGCCCTCAATGCTGCTAGGATGAGTTACCACAAAGAATGGGAAGGAATGTCCTTATGAAGTTAAGCCTTTTTTAACATGAAAATTAGCAAAAGCTCAAGCAATAGCGGTAGGTTTACTAATGTACCACAGTCAGGGAATTATGTTACTGAAAATAAACAGTCAACCTGAATGTGTTCTCTGTGCCTGATAAAATACATTTAGAATATACTTGTCACAAACTGGCTCAGCATTGCTAAATAATACTGCCTTATCAACAAAATTAACCAAGCTTCAGCAATGGAAGGTTTGTTGAATTTATTAAAACAGACAAAATACTTAGGCATTATTATCAAGTGTACTATTAGTCACAGACACTAAATGCAAACATTTTAAAACCACACCTAGAATTTTAAACCAGCTGGAACCAATATGCCTGATTAACTGGTTTGTATCATCTATTAGTACATGTAGGATTAGGCTAAAGTATTTAGAGATCAGTTATGCTTATAATCTGATTTAAACCCTATTCTTGGTGACAAACCTAACCTACTAACATTCCAAGAAATAATGTCTGGAGAAAATATGTAAGTACCATGTGTCATTCACAGCAAAATAGTTTTTAAAATGCGTCAACAAATATTTCATATGCATGACAACAGTAATTTCCTAAATTTGAATAATTATTTGTTTTTGTCTAAGTACATTATAATCAATAGCTATTTACAAATTGATGTCATAAAACTTGTACAAATTATATATAGAAAATGTCTTATTTTAAAATTTTATTTAACTTCATCCACTATGTTTGGAATATATCTTTATATACTGAATCTCAAATGAAAACATTAAAGTGAGAATTCAATAATAAATTTTTCAATTAATGTATTGGGTAACATGAGCATTAGTGAAGAAAAATAGTCATTGTTTCTATATATAAATATGCCCAAATACAAAAAAGAAAAATTTCACCCAGTTTTCTTTTTAATAAAAAAATTAATAAACATCCCTCACTGTGAAATTGGCTTTTCTTAACACAATTATTATTTTACACTTGAATTAATTTTAAAAAAGCTGGTATCTTATACTATCACCAGCATCTTTGCCATTGCAGATAATTGTTTAACCTTATTTTTATCTGCATTTGACACGCTTGAGATCCCCCCTCAAGATGGTTACAGGATTTTATTTGTGAAGCTTGAAAAGGCTAAAGAAACTAATATGATATTTAATAAACGTTTTCCTGATAACTGAAACAACAATCTCATTATAAATACAGATTTACATAAAATATAAACTTGCTTGTGTTTTAAATATTCTGTGTACTACTAAACATAAAAACGTGGTAGTTTCAACTGGAGAAGAACACAACTAGATGAATACATAATTTTTTGTAC